AATCTATTGAACTGGGTGAAATCATATATGGAAAACCGTAGTCTAATAGTTAGCTGCAATGGAATTTTATCAAGTCCCAAAGATGTAAAACTAGGAGTGCCTCAAGGTTCTGTCCTGGGACCATTGTTGTTCCTCAATTTCATAAATGACCTGTCTGAATTCTTTTCTGAGTGTCACATAACCATGTTTGCGGATGACACTGCAATTACTGTGGCCGACAAAAACGAAGTTGAGTTGTCAGACAAAATAAATAAAATAATAGATAAATTCAGTGCTTGGTGTCAACGTAACAAACTTATTCTGAATAAATCTAAATCTGTTTCAATGAAATCATTTATTAGGAAAAATTTCAGCAGTGACTCTTCCACAATAAATGGTATTCGATCTTCCANGCTTGACTTATATCTGAAGATTTGAAAGTCATCTACATAAAAGTGGTTTTAACAAGACTTCAAAAATTCTTGATGAATGTGGCAATATAGAGAGTATAGAAAAGTGGGCCTAAAATGCTGCCTTGGGGTACTCCTGTTTTAACTTCTGTCTAAGTGAAAGCTTTATCATAAATCTGAACTCTTTGTAATCTGTTATCTAGATAAGATGATTACCAAACTCAAAAAATGTAATATATTAGGTACAGACTATTATTTGATTGATGGTGTTGAATGCTTTTGAATAATCCAATAGAAACAAAATGGTAGCTTCATTTTTATCTAGAGCAATAGTCATGCCATCTACATTCTCCAATAATGCTGTTGTACAAATATAACCTTTTCTTTCTATGTTTTTTACCACTTTTATTTGTAACTAACGTTACTGTAACGGCGAATAATTTTTCTATGCACATGGAACATGTCGGAAGACTACTTATTAACCTTGAATCATTAAAATTTTGTGGTTGATTATTTTTTTGTAAGGGTAACTAAATGCGACTAAATGTGATGATTTTTGGGATATTATATAGATTAATTCACCTAACCGTTTGTAATTTTAAAATTAGTTTCAGTATCTCAAATAGAAAACAAATAGCTGAAAATTGCTGAAGAGGTAGCTTAGAACAAGGAGAGGGACATAGGCGTTTCCGTGAAGTCACTATAAAACGTGGTATAGCAAAAACGCATCTGACATGGAATAGCAAAAAAAGGTAAATGACAGCTGAACGTAACTTTGTCAAAGGTTAAGTATGGTAAAAAATTTGACAATTATGAAAATGACATCTGGAGAATGGTCAACGAGTATATTTCACGGCTTCGAATGTTGTTCAACGTGCTGAAACACCTCCAGCGACAACATTGACCAGTTTCTTTGCGATCTACCAAAGAGATCCGTTTGCACGAACTTTGCTATACTCGGAGATGCCACATTATTACACTTGGAATGCTTCATCGAAGAATTTTCAACGATGGAAGCAAGGCAATACGGTTCCTGGTTATTCGGATGTGCGTTCTACTGATGCTCTTGGTCGTATGTATACAGTTCATCCAGAGAATGATGAATGCTTTTATTTGCGATTGTTGCTGGTATATGTCCGTGGGCCAACGTCATTTCAGTCACTATGGACTGTTAATGGTACAATATTCCCAACATATCGTGCTGCATGTGAAGAACTCAATTTACTAGAAAACGATACCCATTGGGATACTACAATCGTTAAAGCTATTATCTCTGCATCTCCAAGTCAGATACGCACATTATTTGCTATCATAATTTCGACATGCTTTCCATCGAACCCATCTAACATGTGGCATCAATACAAGGATAATGTCAGAAGATATTTTACATCAAATTCGTGTCAGTTCGAGAAATCCAGATATTGAGATGAATGAGGAGATACATAATCGGGCTTTACTCTTGATCGAAGACATGTTGTCCTACAGGACCTTGGTGTCGGAGGGGGGCGTTCCGTCGCGCATCGACCCCGTTACTTTCCCAAGACCTTCACCGTAACGGCCTCCTGGCCTCCCAGACCTGGGTCTCAGGGATTTCGAAACCCATTCCCAGCCTGAGTACAGCGGTAGGTTTGTTTGCTTCGGCTAAGCTTCGTTCTGGGAGTTAAGAGTTGTAGAGGTACTGACCCCACCATGAGGCCACCCCCAAGCCTCTCTCGGCTTCAGGGTGACCCCCTGGCATTCCACCACCCCCTAGCACTTCCGCTAGGTCGTCAGTAACCGAACTGGATGCGAGTATCCTCCCAGGGATCACTAAGTATTCCCCCCTGGGGGCATCGCGACGCCTGGCGTCGGACGACCTATGCTTCGTCGCTCAATTCCCTGTTGCCAGCATCTCCAGCCTCCAAAATGTAATATTTTTCAAAACTCGAATGCTAATAAAAATTGAACCACGAGCACTGGAAACGTGATCGAGGTGTCAAACGATAGCTACTAAGAATCTCTATCGATAAAGCTAAGGGATAAAGCTCATAAAAAATTCAAAAAAACTGAGAACGTTACTGATTGGAACTATTATAAAATGCTAAGAGACCAAACCAATATCATGATAAGAAATGAGAAAAAAGCATATCTTAATCAGGTTATAAGTGGTAACCATAATAGTAAATTATTGTGGAATATACTTAAAAATCTCAACATATATTCTCGTAAAAGAAATAACTTGCCAGAAAGACTTAATGATCCTATTAAAATCAATAAATGTTTTTTGAGTAATTCCGACCAACATTTCGTACCTAGTAATGAGTTATTGAATTATTATAACAGTAATTCAAAAAATAATATGTCTACTGACAAATTTCGCTTTGAGCCGGTACAGAAAATATTGTTTACAAATGTATTTTAGAAATAAAAGAGCCATAAGTTCAGATGAAATTAATATAGATATGCTACTTCTTTGCTGTCCTATAATACTACCATATCTCACTAATATAATAAATTCATGTTTGCAAAATAATATATTTCCTGAAATGTGGAAGATTTCTAAAATACTGAGAATTTCATATAAACTTAAGGAAACCAATTGGTTGACTATGGAAAATACACGTGTTTTACACTCATTATACTTCTTTGAAGAAAGCACGATTTCCCTATCTAGATAGCTGAAAAAGCCATTTTCCATAAAATCAACTCTTTCCCTATTTAAAAAATTGGCGAAGGCTACTAATCTTGCAAAAGATTTTTCTATCGCTTAGGAAACGATATCTCAACCAATGTTTTTCCTCGTTTTCTCGATGTTCATTCTGAGTGGGCGGTCCTTGTACTGGAGCTCGTGAAATTCAAAACTAGTTTTGTTTCACGACAATGTGTTACCTTATGTGCGGTAGTTTATTAGTCAGGTTAGGAATGCCAGCTCCAAATCGTGAAATGAATGACGCATTTAACCGAGAATTGGAACGGGAACGTGAATACGATCACGAGGAATTAGATTTACCATCAACTATCCAATTGAATTTTTAAACTGCTTGGATGTGCCTGGCTTACCATCGCACAATTTACGGCTGAAGGTTGGCTCCGTAGTAATCATGCTTCGAAACATAAACCCACCAAAACTTTGCAATGGTACACGTTTGGTGGTAAGTAAATTGATGAACAATGTGATTTACGTGACGATACTCAAAGGAAAATTCGAAGGTGAGGAAGTTCTCATTCCGAGGATCCCGATGATCCCAACTGATATGCCGTTTGAGTTTAAAACACTTCAATTTCCAATTCGTCTTGCATTCGCCATGACCATTAACAAATCACAAGGCCAATCCTTGAAAGTTTGTGGTCTGAATCTGGAAAATCAATGATTTTCACATGGTCAATTATGTGTGGCATGTTCACGGGTCGGAAGACCATCTGCGTTGTTTATACTTGCGCCTGATGATAAAATAAAAAATGTCGAGTATCACAAGGTGCTTAACTGAAGAGTACAGCCTAATAAAGAATAATTGAAATACTTGATTGATAAAAAAATTTAATCATTGAAATAAAAAATGTGCTTTTTTATTGCCTCCAAGACGGAACGAGGTTCAAAGGGTCAGCTAGTGATATTATAATGTAAACACGAATGAACACCTTACATAAAGACTTTACAAGATACCAATAATTTGACTTGATTTCAGTCTAACAAATAGTCTTTATATTCAGTTTTGAACTTTGTAAAATTTACTTTTTTGAGGGGTTTGGGGACAGAATTATACTTTCAACAAATTTGGTACCTAAAAGACCACCGGAACACTTCTGTTTTGAATTTTGGCATAGAAATNTATGAATAAATTCAAACAATCCATTAAACAACTACTATTGGAGGGCTGCTCTGTCTCTGATTACCTGGGGTATTTTAAAAATCGCTCCTAAGTCTCAACATACAAGCAACATACTCATCTGACTACCGTAAATATGCTATATCATGTTCTTCTTTCATGTTTTTAATGTTAATCTTTATGTTGCTCTACTTTTTATCTTAAATTATATTTTATACTCATCCGATCTGAAATTACTTTTGCTGTGCGTAAGCATATGTAACACATTTGTCATGACTTGCTACAAACATGTAATGTGTAATGTGGTTAAATAAACTTCTATTCTATTCTATTCTATGAAACGGTGAAATCTTGGACCAAAGATGATTACATTTGATTTACTAGGGTTTATAAATAAACAGTGGTCCGTTGCTAATTCAACAAATCTATTTATATCGGCATTGATAATGCCACAAGCATTGTCTGCCATTTTCACCGGAAAGCTGTGGTATATTTGAGAATCATCAGCATATAAAATTTGTATGAACAAAGAATAAATCGTGTGCAAGTTTATTCAGACTCCAGACTAATTAGTCAAGAATCCATGTCTTTTTACTACTTAAATATCTTTTGCTATTTCAACAAAAAATATCGACGTATTTCTATTTAATCACAGTCTCCATCTTGAATAACAGCTTGTAGCAAATTTTTAATCGGCTTACGTTGGTAATTCATTCGATCTTCAACCGACGACACAATATCAGTTTACGCAAAATCTTCCCTTCCACAGAAACCCCTAGAAGACTAATTGAAATTTCTATTCCAGGTGAGAAGCCCCACAAGTGTGTCGTATGCTCCAAGGCATTCAGCCAATCATCCAATCTCATCACACACATGCGCAAACACACTGGATATAAACCCTTTTCTTGTGGTTTGTGCGAGAAAGCTTTCCAAAGAAAAGTCGACTTGAGAAGGCACAGAGAATCGCAACATCCCAGTGTTCCTGAATCTATCATTTCCGGGTTATACCGACCAACTGACATAAATCTTGAAGATGTGAAGCACGAAGTAAGCAGCAGTAGTTGTTGAGAACAGTGCCATATTAGTCCTCGACCGAGAAAAAAATAAAAATCATAGATGAATTTGTGTACCTTTGTCTTTGAAAAAGTATTACCGACAACCGGGGTTATATCGGACGATATTTTTAATTAACGTTAACTAATATATTCTATAATAAGAAGTTAACCTAGTGAACATATTTACATAAAAATATATCACGATTATATTTATTTATTTTTTTAAAATGCGTCCGATATAACCCCGGTTTTGGGGGAATATCGGACGATTCCATTTTTACATTGAAAAAGAACGCGTTGAGCCTGGTATCCGGTATAGGTTTGGTTAAAAACCATTATCGGACAATTAAAAAAAAATTGACCATGTAGGGTTCAGGATACAGGGTGATGTAGTAAAAATAAAAGTAAAAATCGATATAATGGA